AGTTTTTCCTTTTATAATTAGATTTACTTATTAATATTTTAAATACGTAGCATTGTAAATATTGTAAATACATATATATAATTTATGCATATATTCCTGTTGTAAAGCGCCTTGGACATGCTCATGGATATGAGCGCTATATAAATAAACTTTATTATTATTATATAGTTATATTGCGCTTCCCCCTCCCCCACGGGCTAACATGTCTTTTTTTAAAGTGCTTCGAAATTTCTCTTGTATGGACGTGTTATTTGGAGAGTTTAAATGGATGACTGAAAATGAATCTCAATATTCTTTTCATCGCAAGGTGACAAGACAGCCGAATGATATTGAACCATATGGTTAGTACAAGGAAATCCAATCCCCTCTGTTATCTATGAATGAACCTACCTATATTCCGATTGTTCTTTTTTCTTTCAGTAAACACCGCTTTATATGAGTCTTTATATGAATCTAATTTGCACACCGATGAGCAATATACGGTGTGGAAAGTAGACGTATGTTGAAAAGTCAGCTATTTAAAGCGTTGCTCTTGAGCATCATTTAATCGCTGATTTTCCAACCAAGATTAGCTACTATATCTACCAGTGTACTACTACCATTCAAGGTAAGAGTTTTATCAACTGTCACGAACCCTGCCTTCGCCAGTATTCTATGCCTAGCATCAACCAAAAGTAAGAAATAAAACCTACAGAGTTCGCTTAGCCCAAGTACGGTTAGTTTCAGATTCTATTCAGTCATTGTCGGAAAATGAGTACAAATTCTTGACTGCCGGCCATTTAGGAGTTTGAAGACCTTCAGTTAGGCCACAGCGTTTGTTGCTAACCAATTAGAAACCCGTAAAGCCCCTTAAACTGGTCGGTCTTGGCATTACTCTCCAGGCTCTAGGCAAGTTGGACAGATTTAAAAAATAAATAAATAAATAGGATTTAGCGGTGACATTTCCACGGAGTGGTTCTTCATCCACTGAAATTCCAATTGGAGTTTAGGAGTTGATTTTTGAGGAGGGAGGAAAATCGGAGAACCTGGAAAACCCTCGAAGCACAGGAGAGAACCAACAAGCAACTCTACTCGCATAAGACGCCCAGCCCGGCGGGACTTTAACTCGGGTCGCATTGATGAGAGGCGAGAGCTCTCACTGCTACGCCACGCGCCCATGCTTCAATTTATCATTGAAGACCCCCACCACAATTTACTCTACACAACGCGATGGGGTCGTGAGCACTTCTACCCATCTTGTACTGATTTTACAACAAGTTTCTTTCGTGTAAGCTTACTCGTTAATAAAGATAGTTCCAAGGATTATATTCTTACAAATGCTTTATTCATGGATCTAACTGAATCTAACCGATCAATAAATCAGGCAAATATTGCAGACTTTACCCGATATCTCAAAAGGTGTCCACGAGTTTGTCATGCGGCAGAAGGATTTTATAAGAAATCATGTGTGTTTAGGAATTGAACAGCAACAGGACCCGTAGATAGAACTCACAGTAGCAACTTTCGATAAAATCTCTGAATTCTATCAATGTATGCATGATACGTGTTCACTCATTTATTTTTTATTTCACTAACAATACATTGATGGTTCTGATCCGAGGGTAGGCTATTGTCGTCTGATGCCTTCGGGCTATGATATTATGTCGCACACCAGATTTCCACAGAACGCATAAAGTAAAGGAGGCTTGATCACTTCTTAAGTCCACATGACGCCTCGACTCACGGGAGTATAGCATTTTGCTATTTTAGAAATGATAGAACGTGATTTCTGAGTGGGCTTTCGTCAGAATTTTTCTTCAGTGATTCAGTGATCTTTTTAACTCACTTGTATCGCTTCAAAAATACTCGGATATTTCTGAATTTAGCACATATTGTAGCTCAAGATGTAATCTTTTAACGGTGACTTCGGAATATTACATTACTTTTGAGTCGCGTTTGTCGTTACGGGCCTATTTTCTAACAGTGGGTGTTTTAGACATTGTCCTCCTGCTGCTCGCTTAAAAATCATGCACCAAACTTCAGATTCTTAATAAATAGATGGTTATCAATCTCTCTGCCAAGTTTAAAGAAAACTATTGACCCATTTTTGTAATGCTATTTTTCCCCAGCCGATTTTGCCGCACAACCATGACTTGCGTTCGATAGTTTTTTTCCTTAATCAAAAGAAATCCTAGTCAACTAAAATGCATTGCGCGCTGGAATGAAAACAATCGGCCAATTTCTCTGCCAGACAAAATGACGGTTTTGTAGGTGAATATCTCAAAGAGAATCTCTCTGAAAAATTCAACCTACCCTATGTGGAATGAAAGGGAGGAAACATGGGAATTTGAGGACTTCGGCATAACTAATTTGCAGAAAGTTTGCTCCACCAGTGCATGAAAGAGCTTTGAGAAGGCGAAGGAAGTAAACAAGAATGTAGGGGCGCAGTGCATTGTAGTTGACTAGGATTCTTTAAACTCGGTAGACACTGTGGTGTATCTTCGTTTCTTCACAGGTCTGTAGAGAATAACGTGTTGAAAATGAGTCTCTCTTTACAGGGTACATTGGTAGTATTCCTTCTGATAGGTAAGCATTTGAAACGTCTAAGTATTCTATCTCTTCAATGGGTTTCTCAGTTATCTTAATATTTGAAATGTTTAAAACCACATCCCAAAAAAACCCAAAAATTAAAACTATCGTAAAATTTATTACAAATTATTTCACTGCTAAAACCTTCAAGAGAAGTGCAAGTGCGAGGTGCAACTTGCTTGGGAAGTTTCTGTGCTTAAATATATAAATATCGAGATGTGCATTTAGATCGTAAGTAGAAGCTGAGTTTCTCTTATTTTGGGACAACTATATAGGCCTTTTTTGAACCTCACTCCTCCGCCACATCAGTTCTGTGCATTAATATTGTCTCTTCTAAATCTCTGAGGAAATTCTTGTCTGTATTTATTACAGGTGCATTCAAAGGTAGCAATGGTAAGTTGAAAAAAACGCAGTTCATTCTTCCATTCATCCATCCATCCATCCAT